CATGAAATGCTACAGATGATAGAGAAACTGCACGTAGCTCGTACAGAGAGTTATGAACCTGTGATATTACCCATTCGGTCAAAGCTCTCATGACGGATTTAATGGGGAGCAGAATCACAGCCTGGAACTAGAACTGTCACTAGTTCAAGGGATTCTCCTGTCCCTGTTCTGCTTCTTGTCCATCGAGATATATTATCACAACTAACAGCACAACATGTGGTTGCTGCTTCTGTGCAGTGTTGCAAAAGTAGCAGAAGTTTCATGGTTCCCAACGTGCAACATTCACACCTGACAGCTTGGGCCCTCAACTGTTTATACAGCTGGCGTGTCTAATGACATCATTTGTATCTTGAATCAATGAAAAAAAATCTGTGTGCTTATGTAGTATCTTCCAACCTGACCAAAATATTGTTTATTAATGCCTAAAATAAAAATGAAATTTAAGTGAGATGTTCTTTAAAACAGAACTTCCCGAGTTTTATAAAACCCCAGGTATTACTGTCAGTGACAAGTATCAGGATTGGAGGAAGAGGTTACCGCAAGTTACTGCTAATGACGGATTCTTTTTTCCAAGCTGTCACTACTTGAATATCTTCCTCATGTCTCACTGGAATGTGTGTAAACTCAACAAATGTGTCTGCTTAGTTCATGAGCTTATATTGACCGTTTAGACTATAAAATAAAGCCATTCCTCCAAGAGACACTGTGAACTTTGCAGTGAACCTAGAGAACATACCATGAAATATACGTCCTTAATCTTGGTCTGTCATTCAAGTAATTCTTAGGGTTTTCTCTGCCTTGTTAGTGAAGGGTTTAATCAGCAAACTGGCTTTTTAATGAGGTACAGTGCTGTTCAATGTGGCTCGCGGGGAGCAAATTAACGGTTAACTCAGTAGCAGGATGGGAATTAGAGTGAGCTTGAAAGACTTCTCTCCACTTTTAGTTTATTTGGCAGAACTCGTGATTTGAGACATACGGAAATGCCCCTTTGTAAAGCAATTTTCCTGCATTGCCAAAATGACCCCAGTGTGTTGCTGCTTTCTCAGTGTGTTTGCAAGTGACCTATTTTTGCACCTTTGGTATTGCAAGATGACTGCATAAATAATGACTGGCGAGGGCGGGTGTCTTTTTTTTTGCTTCGAAGGGCAACGATCTACCATAATCTACAGATGCTGAACATTTTTCTTGAATGGTGTTGCTTTATGATTTTGAGATTCTCTTGCTTAAGATTGAATCATGTTAACTAACTTACACTGAAATTGTGTTTTTGAAGATTAAACCCAAGTATTTTGAAATTAGACTTTTGACAGACCACACTAACCACAGTGCTTCACAGCAGCTTATGGTAAATAGTTTTAAAATCTATTTTGAACAGACCAGTTTTCATTTCGTATGTGTCAGAAGTGAAATCTATGAGGACTAATGGAGTCTGCATTTGTTTAATTAGCCAACTCACCAGAATTACTGAATATTTAGCCTATAACTTACACACTGAAAGCAGTTGGTAGTTTGGAGATGCATGTACCTCTAAGACCTGTAAGCTGCTGTATGAGAATTGTGTGTTGTCTGATTACTGTGTATAAATTAATCCGCGAAGGCATCTTGCTGTTGTTAAGTTACCTTCATGCGATGTTTTACCTTGAGTTAAACTTTACCAAGAGAGCAAGGTATGAATTCTGTGCTGGAAGTTTGGCATAGCCCTTCTCGGTAGGTATCCAGCCTTCCAGTTTGTGAAATGAGAGAGGGGAAATAATGCGCCTAGTGCTACATTCCTGGCTTCAACTGATATTGAACTGATAACAAGGATGGAAATAAATCTCCTTGGAATCAAGGCGTGTCCTCAACGTGCAGCTCTGCAACACTAAAGCTTCCAGCCGGGCTGCTGACCCGGAGGGGCGCGCGTTTGTTACAGAGATCACACAGAGGTTAGCTGAGAACCGATGGGTTGAAAGCTTACGGAGCTCAGACTTTACCTTGTGCTGCCAGGTGTTTTGAATACCGGTTTTGGGGTTTACTGCCTTTTGGTAACTTAGGTACAAAGTGGGTTTTTTTTTTAAAGGCCTCTACTTCGTAACTTACACATGGAAAAGAAGTGCAGGAAAATTGCATTGCTTCAGAGGTGTGGACAAGACAGTCCTATAAATATCAACACTTGACTCTTAAATTATTTTTAAGAGTTTGGATGGCCAAAATTTAGCTCTGAAACATAAAATCAATTGAAACACCTTTGGGGTTTTTTTTTTAAGTTCAGAGATTACTGGATATTTTTAACTGCTTAGATTGTTAGCAGTTTTAAAACTTTTCTTTTAGTAGACTGGTTTTACAGTCTCTTGGCTTATGCAGAAAGAGCTCTTTCGAAACAGATGGATAGAGATTTCCCTGAAATGGCAGCAAGCTAAACTTACTCACAAAGTGGGGTTTTTAATCCACTTTTGATTGTCAACACTGCACTGAGGAAAAAAAAAAAGTTGCTTTTTTCCCAAAGCAACCTCTGTGTCGCCAGATTTTGTTTAAATATTTTTGAACTGCAGAATCTTGCTTTACTTCGTGCCTGGCTTAGATGAACCAGTTTGCCTGGGCACGCTCTCCCACACGTAACAATAACATGGCAGTTGTGCAGACACCAAACACAACGAGCTCAGCAATTTTCTGTACGATTTGGAGCCAAATTCTAGCGTTTGAATAGTGGGGCGGGGGGGAGGTCAGGAAACACGACTGTACCAATTAATGTGCAGCTAATATTCAGAGACACGTTTCCATAACTGCACACAAATTGAGGCTTTTTCTGACCATGTTTGGTATAATAGTTGTGGAGAGCTATTCCTTCAAACAAACTTTGATCAAAGAATAATGAAAACTAATAAAGAAATAATAATGAAGTAAAGAAATGATTTAGTGCTATTGGTTAAGTTCTTGCTTTTTCTGAAGTGGCATAGTTGTGTACAAACTTGTGCTGCAGCGTGCTGGGGAATGCTGCGGAGGCACCAAGAGTCTCCATGCTGTGTGTTGCACGAGCTACTCCAGTTGCCTTCAGTGCAGCCTACAAAGATCTTTTAGAATATATATGGGGGTTTTGTTACTCAGTTGTTGTTCGAATAATGGCCACTGACTAGAGAAATCGAAGAGGAAAGAGTCTTCACATAATGAATAATACAATGCATCTTTCTGCAGCTATATACCCTGCTCCGAGAGAATACATGTGGCAGTAACGGAAATGGCAGCCTTGTTCCCAAAAGTAAGTACCTTCCAGCATTACAATGTTTTTGGCCTCATTCCTCATTAGTAGATTTCCCTTGAGTACCTGAAAACCAAAAGCCGAAGGTAGGGAAAAATGACTAGATGGTTTTTTTGTCCCATCTTGCATCTTTGTATTTATTAGCATGCCGATTGGGAAGGGCTAACGTGTGAATCCTGGCCTTTATTTTTACTCTTGAACTTAAAACTCTAAGAATTGCACACAGTTCCTCCAAAGCTGGAGGCTACTTGCATCTAGCGTGAGGAGTCATGTGATTATATGGGAATTTTTCTGGGCTTGTTACCCTCCGGTTTCCATTTGAGTGCCATTGCCTGGATTTGTTACTTGCAGGTGTGTTTAGATCTGGTATCCATCTGCAATCTGTGTCTTCGCAGAAAATTGAGGGGGTGAAACCTCCATAATTAAGATTTTGTCAAGTCTTATGTACCTCTATAAAACTGCACGGAAAACGTAATGCTGTTGTGCCTACCTGAATGGATTGTCTTGTACACGCTGTGCCCTGATGTCAGCCAGGACATGGGCTGGGTAAACAGGCACTAGAAATTTTTTATGAGAGCATGAAGCAGTATTCCCTGCGTGCTGCCTGGCAGCAGTTTGAAACGTCCCTGAGATGAGAGAGGAGGAATTCCAGGAACTTGTTTCATCCGCCTCTAGCCCACGTCTCTGCAGCGATGTCTTATACCGTTGTCTGCAGCACAGAGAAGTCCGTGCAGAAAGCAGGGCTGTAGCAGCAGGAGTTTTGTTTTAAAGAACGCTTGTGAAACACTACCGGCTAATGAAAAGCGATCCCGAAACGGTTTTGTTGTTCTGTCCAGTTCAGCTTCTACTTTCCTTTCCCAGAAACCCAAATCTGAACTGGTAAGGACTTCTTTGCGTCTGCTGACATCTAGTGCCTACAGACTCCAATCCGAGTGCAAAAAAACCCTGCCCGTGGAGACGTGCCCTACCACGGACATCCAGCTGGTCACGCAGCAAGTTATCCAGTGCGCCTACGACATCGCCAAGGCTGCGAAACAGCTGGTTACCATCACAACCAAAGAGAACAACAACTGAGTCACACTTGGCTTTTTAGTCTTGTTTTTTAAAGGTTGAATTTCAAATATAGGTGTGGAACTATTTGAATTTTTATGAGAAAAACTAAAGGGGCAAGAAACTTTTTTTAAAACTCAGTATTATTTTTGCATGTTTTCTAACAATTTTATGATTAATTTAACCCACTGCCTTATTTTGTGCCTGTGTTGCCAGTTTAGTTACAGATAATAGCATGTCGCGAATAGCTGCCGAGCCATTATCACGTACCAGCCTCGTATCAAGGTCTTGCTAGACATTTCCTTGGGGCCACGTTCTGCTTTCAGATATTGCTTGCAAAACTCCGGTGGAAGTCAGCTGCGCGTATCAGAGGGCAGAATCTCGCTTCTGCTCTGTCCGGCCTGGAGCCTCACGTGCTGTGATGCCGCTGGCTGAGCAACCCGCGGCGAAACAGGCTCTGAAGGCGCCAGGGCCATAACTGCTCCCCAGCAGGAAGAAGGCTGTAGTCCCGGTAACGGAGTACGAGCCGAATATTATCTGTTCCCATATCAACTGTTGTGCAATAATATGTTTTTAGTCTGCTAAAACAATAGTAGTTGTGGGCATCCGAGCTTATTACATGTAACTGTACCAGGTCTTTGTCACTTTATCTGTTTTGGAAGGAATTTGAAACTTCATAGTTATTTCTTTTAGTTATCACTATGCCATTAATATATATGTTTGATGTTACTTTAGGGCATTAGTGGTTAAAATATTATCCTTTGTTTCTGATTTAGTAATTCATTCTTAAGTTTCCTATAGATTTTTACTGTCGTCTTCAAGGCACCGTCTTGTTTGCAGCAGCACTGCTCAGTAACTCAAGATGCAATTTACTCAAGATTTTTCTTTTTTTTTAATTATCACAGAAAAGGAAGTTAGAAGAGTGCCAGTGCAAACGCAGCTCTGTCTGCCATAGCGTATAACCTCTGTACCTCAACATATCCAAATGTGAAAAGATTTCTGATATCTAGTAAGTTTTATACAAATCTTTCAAAATTTTACAAGCTACATATGGAACACCCCAAGCTCAGCTGCCTGTTAGAAGGGCAGATGGGTGACAATTGTCAATGTGTTTCAGGGTTATTCATTCTTAACAGTTCACAAAAACGTGTCAGTCCCTGTGTTCAAAAATGAGAGTTCTTTGGGAATCTAAATTCCACGGGGGGGGAAATCACTAATTTTTGCTTCTGCCTGTGTCCCATTCGGAAGCATGCTGGCATTTTCAAGGCGCTGGCCCTGGCAGTACAGCTGCAGCTACTGAAAGTCATCTTTTAGTTAAGAGCAAAGTTGCAGAACTGCACTGGCTGTCACATGGCAGCAGCTGATGTGAACATTTAAGACAGTTTTTACAGAAACGTTTCAGTCAGAAACGGCTATCTGCTGTTCCACAAACAGGTCTGCAGTACGCGGTCTGCCAAAGCCACGAACTCTTCAGGGCTTTCTGGTGCAAAACTGCCATATTTAGGTGAACAAACGAACTAAAGTTCAGTGGTTGGTTCCTTTTCAAATCATACTGTGTTTTATGTACGTATAAACATGAAGTGCCATAACACTGTTGGATTCTTGTATGTTGTAATTATTAGCTCTGTTTTTAAAGTAGTGCAAGTTTGAGGGAGGGAAGGAAGGGAGAGGGTTAGATGACAACCCAGTAAATTAATGTTCTTCATTGTGGGGTGTTTTATTTCCTTTCTGCACTTCTGAATTCCAGAACTGACCCTAAACTCAGGGGAATGCAGACAGGCTGGGATTAGAACTGCAAAAGACATTTGTAAAACGCACTCTAAAGTTATGCTCCTGGCAATTAAATACATTGAAAATCTTCTAGGAGCTCTTCCTTAAATTGACATCATTGAAAGGCAGCGGATGGTATTTTTAAATCGCTCAGGACCCCGTTGCATGCTTTTCTTTAACATATCTTACCTGATTTCCACAGCAGGGTAACGCTGGGTTGCGTTGTAAGTTACCAGTTGTTTAAGCTTGCCTCTGTACCAAAACCAACGGCCACTTGGATAACTGCATGCCCTTGTTCCAGCTATGCTAGCCCCAGATTTTCTACAAGCAACCGTTTTGCTCGTTGGAAGGTCTGGCTGTAAAACCACAGCCAACCTGTAACTGATTTCCCCTTTTGTCACTTCAGCAGTGTTTCTGGTCAGTTCCCCATCTCCAACAAACCCTTGCTCCAGGTTGGTTATGGTCACACTGTGTCCTGGCTCCAGAACCACGGTGACGGTCATGCAGGACAGGCAGTTTTGATGTTCTCAATGAAACAGAAGTGCTCTGAGCACGTGCTGATATGCTGCGTCAGCTCTTTGCACCAACAGGCAGAGCGGGTCAGAACTGACGGTGACTAAAGAGTAGTGAGCAGATTGGCCCTCAAATCATGCAGCACTGTAATACCTGAAATAACAACAGTGGGTTGGTTTTTTTTTCTCTTTTTCCCCTATAAACAGACTCACTCGCTCTTTACAAAATGCTGCATAGGAAAGTGAATTTTTTTTTTGCCTTTTTCCAAAACTTGTATTTATCAGTGTCATTCTGTCTGTACAATATTTTGACTTAATCTTTTGTTTACTGTATTACTATAAAATGCTAAAACCCTTTTGGTGTGCGAAATTATTCCGGGTTATTTGACTGCTGGTTTTGTAAAGAAAAGATCTTGAAAAAGTTCCTGTAGTTGAGTGAAACCTGCAGTGCTCAAAGAGCACCCGGCTCTGTGGCCCGATCGGAACGTGCCTCACCAGTGGACGGATTTTAAGCAGCAGTTGCTGACAATGATAGCAAGGAATCAAGCACAATAATCGACTAAAACTCCCCTCCCCTCCTGTTGTTGGGGCAGTTTGCTCATGTAAAGAAACACACAGTTGTTGAGGTTGCAATTATTCATTGTTTATGAAACAGGTGAAAAAAAAATTAATGAAATCTTCAGCACCTTCTGGAGAGGAACGGTACGTGTTAGGAATTACTGTCGCAGCACACATTATCTGTCTTGGGGATTTGCAGTGCGTTAGGAATTACCTCTAAAGGTCTTTTCCAACCTAAACGATTCTATGATTTTATAACTCCTAAAAGCCAGCTGGGGCTCCAGGCACATCCCGCTTCTCAGAGGTGAGAGTCTGACACTTGAATAGCGAACACAGCACGTAGTGGTCTACAGCTCCCGTTCCATGGGAGGTGCGTATACTTCAGTGGTTTAGATCTAAAGGGCCCATTTATTTGCTGTGTTGCCCCAGCGTAGCACATACTAAAATACAGCATCACAACTCCCCAACACAGAGCACGTGAAGCAGTTCAGTGCTGCAAGGATTCTTGCACCTCCACCTTCTTGAAGCCAGTAGAAATTTGCTCTTGTGTTCAGCTGGGCCACAGCTGGATGTTTTCAGAAATCTACTGCGTCAAGTCTCGGTGTCATTGTAGGCTATTCCAAAGCCACCGTTACTTCAGGGGTTCCTTGATTTTTCAAAGTTTTCCTTCTGTAGTCTGCAACTCCATTTAGTGCTGGTTCCTCAGGTGCAGAGGACACAACCCCTCAGGTCCATGCTGCTTTTGGGTAACTGTAGAGCTAACGGGGTCAAAACAAAGATCGTAATTACTTTATGGGCTCCAGAATTAATCTTCCACACACGCGCTATGCAACATGCAAAGGAGATACGTTGGAGAGTACCGAACATCCTCCAAGAAGAGGCAGCAGTAACATTTAAGAGTTGATACTTCAAGGCAGTAATGCCTCCTTCCTGCTGTCCCTGACTTCTGTAGCTACTGTCTCACAAATGGCAGAGGCGAGTTCCTCTGGAGTAGCTCATAGTTTAGTATGAAAAGTAGGACCTGCTGGGCGTGTGGTTTAGGTAGGGTGACTTAAATTGAGCTTCGTTTTTAGAGCTCAGCAAAGCGCAACAGAAGACGGGAAGACATCAAGCAGCCGACGTGCACTGTCCCAACTGTGTTAATGCAGCTCATAATGCTGAAAGCCATTAGAATAACATCTGAGGCTGTAGCAACAAGTCTGCCTCAAAAATTATTTAAAAATTGGGACCTAAAGCATCAGTATCAGCAAAAGAAAAGCAACTTATAAGAGAGAACTATAGACCTCTGTCAGAAATAGCACCAGGGGCAGGAACAGGCCCGGTGTTCTGCCCTGGCTCCGTGTGGCAACTAAGGTGCAGATTAGAAGCAGCGACAGTTCTGCTTGCGCGATGCCATTGCCCTCCCCGATGTGCTGGCGTGGCAGGGTGGCCTGTGTGGACAGGCTTCTCCTTAACGCTGCCACCTACCCTGCTGCGATGCCCTCGCTCAGCCATGCGCTTGGCCTCCTCCCGCACTAACTCCTCGCAGCGCTGCTGGGCTGATCTCTCCTCTTCTTCCTCCTCCCTCCGGCGCTGCTGCTCCTCCTGTTCTTGTAAGCGGCGCTCCGTCAGCTGGGCACAGAGAAGACGGGGCTGTTACGGTGAGATCAGACACAGACTGGGCCCCTTCAACAGCTGGGTGCGTGTGTGGAAAGCATGCCCTACCTGCGCCTCCAGCTCCTGCCTGCGGGCTGTCTTCAGTTCCTCCTCCTGCTCCTTCTCTCGCCTAGTCAGTTCTTTTGCCTCTTCAAGTTCTTTAATCAGCTGCTCTCGATACTTTATAGACTCTTCTTGGGCTCGTCTGTTTAACTCCATCTTCTCTTGGATCTGGCGCTGCCTGCCTGCAAGGACCTTTGTGAGGAGAGAGGATTAAGGGAGAAGGTAAGTCAGGAAAGGGGCCACACTTACAACTGGGGAAATCTCAGCGCAGTTGGTTAAACTGTTCCCAGGAAATGTATCGGACAAGCAGAAAAACTCTGCGCTGGGTACTGAAGGCTGTAACCCTCTGGACGGTGGAAGGTTACAGCTGGAATGATGGCCTTGTCGAACCAAGAGAGATACCTCATCAAAAAAAGTCATCACCTCATTCATCAGGCGATCTCTGGCCGCCTTCTCTCTTTCCCATTCTTCTTCCCTCTTCTCCCACACTTTTTTAGCTTCTTCACTAAAGGACAGAGGAAGAATTATCTCTGAGGTTATTACTTCCAGTTAAAAACCCCCTATATACTCCGTGGGCATAGATGAGCTGTAGAGAAGCGCCCAGGTTTCTCTTCCCCTTTGTTCCCGGGCAGTTGGTGTGTCCGCCCCACCTGTGCCTATTGCAGAGAACCACTCTGGTTCCCTGTTATTACTGAACAGCAGGAGGTAACACACCGAAGGATGCGCTGGCTTGTAACAGGACTTCCTGGATGGACCAGTCTGCTCCAGGTGCAGGAGGAAGATGGTCTCTTAACTACTTCACACGGGGGTGTGGGTAATTAAGGGCATTGCTGGAAAAGTTGAAGATTTTGCAACTCCTCCCTCTGCAACAAAACCTTTAACTAAAACTTGATGGTAGCGTGCGCCGTCCTGTCACCAGTGACAATTCTCTCTGCACTGGGGAGAGCATAACGTGAACCCGAAGGAGGAACCCAAAGCGGCTTTTATGTTGGAGATACAGCTTGGAGATATAGCTTGGAGATACAAAGTAAAACAATATACGGGTTTTGGTGTCACTTAGACTAAAGCCCTCCGCATCAATAATGCGGAATCATTGAAAGTTGGTTACAAAGTTCTT